TTTGGCAGAAGCAACCCCGAAATCAGTGTTGAGATTGATGGGTTTAAAGGGGTTGACATTGTACCATTTGAAGAGCCATTTAGAAGTAGATTTATAAACTTCAACTTGGAGTCTTGTTCTTGATGTTTTTAGAGGTATAAACTTGGACAACAAGCAAAGAAGCAGAACAATGGTGATCCCAACAATGAGAACAGTGGTGAGTTTATTCTTGTGCTGATCATTTTTTTTTTCTTGTAAGAGCCTGTTCATACCTACAGTTTTTTTGATAAACCAAGAAGAGTTGCCAGTCAACTTCATTTAGTACTCTGCTTCTAGGAGTTGAGAATTTTTACATCATTTTATTAAGTACATAAACATTTATATATGGCAAATATATTAAATAAACTTACATACCTTTCTCTACTTTGGTGAGTTTTGAACCCTGATTTCTAGAGAGACCAAAGGCTCGGATACTGCTAGGCCAAACACATTTTGGTTTGCATATTTTTCTTAGCAAATACTCTTTTCAAAGTATTCCGAGAGGTAAAATAAACAATAAACAATTGGGCTAGGTGGGATCCTTGGGGATTACTTGGGGGGTTTACTTTGATAGCCAGTTAGATGGCATTGTGATTTTTTAGTGTAGATGGAAAAATTAGTTCAACCAAATTCAAAAAACTGATTCATGCAAATTCAAATAATCTTTCATCTTCTGTTGTTCCAGTTGCATTGAGACTAATTTAAAACAAGCATATTATACAACAAATCAAAATAATATAGTATCATTTTTTTTACTTTTAATATTGTTGCATTAGAAATGCCTTGGATTTCACAAATGCAGGCATGGGCTCAGCTTGAGGTACAGCAGGAAAATTATCGTACTGACAGGCAGCTTTTTGAGGTAAGATCCTCTACAAGCGATCAATGTTGATCCATTATATATGTATCCCGAACTAACTGTTGTTCTTGTAGAAACTTCATAAAATACTATAGTTGGTAATAATGAGTAATGTTGAACAATTTATAGAAATGTAAATGAAAACAATAGTTTATTTGCAAGGAGAAAACACAAGGACACCAAGTTTGTAGACTTGTTGATCACATRGTATATGTATTATGTATGTTTGCTATTTTCTGACATGTAGTTCCAAATTGTTTAATTCTGYARCCCAAGAAGATGGGCCTTGAGTCAAATTCAATAAGAACTAGAAGGGATCACATGAAGGTACTGGTGTGCCTTGTGTACTTGGGTTAGTTGTTATAGTAACATACAAAATGAGCACCATACCTATATAATGTAATCTTCAAGTTGTTCCAACAATTCTGTTTTTCTTCTCTTGTGTGTTTAACAGTACAACGAAGGAACGAGCGAAGTCTGATTCAGAAAACTGCTACTRCTTGTGTAAATGCAACTTGTAAACTTGTTCATTGTGTATATAAGAGAATACTCAGCTCACCAACTCCATCTACTTTGAACGTTCATTTGTAGACTCCTTGGATGCAGATGTTGGTATAGATGCTTTCACAGTGACTATTAAAGTGGAGATTGAACTATTATGCATTTGATCTAGAGGCGGTGAGGTTTGATTTTTGGTCATTTCGATTGATTAGGATATTGGTTTCTATTTTGGTTTGTATAAGATAATTTTTTTTTCCAAATGTATTCATTAGATATCCGTTTCTTCCTTCATTATAATTATTTGGACAMCATAATTGATTTTCATGCTTGTGTACAATAAAGTTTACCTTTTATTCCTTATTTGTTACATAGTACTTGATTACATCTCGTTAGATCGCACGTGTACTCAATTATAAGGAATCGAGGTTTAAATATTTCTAAGGGTCCCCTGAAAGATCGAATGTTTAAATATAAATTTTGTACTTTTTAATGAAAGATTGCACTTTTTTTAGTTGTAGATTTATTGAAAATTTGACATCCTGCCGCATTGCGCGGGCATACAACTAGTAAATAAAAATAATGAAACAATTATGCAAGGAAGATAAAAGAAAGCAAAACTAAAAGCCAAGACTTTCAAGAAACATGATTTGGGTAAAATCAAACTGATACAAATAGAAAACAAATTACCTCAATGTGGAGATGCAGAGAAGCTTGAAGATCTTCCAGTAGAGAAGTCAAAATATTGTAGAGCAACAAATCGATCGATGGAAACACAATTAACCCTAACACAGAAGTGAAAATGAAGAAAAAAGATGAACACATAGTAAGAACTTAAGATAGGGGAGGACGATGAACAACCGTATGAGAGGAAAAATAAGAATGGAATCGGTAGAGAAACAATGAATCAGGGAGCGAAATTACCTGAATCGTCATCTTGGTCTGCAGATGCTTGTACTTTTTTAGGTTTTATGAAATCGTTTAGGGTTTATGAAATCGAAATGGGATAGGATGAAATCGAAATGGGATAGGATGAAATCGTTTTTAGGGTTGCGATAAAAATGGGATTGGGAATTAAACGATTTCATCGAATTGGTTAGGAGCGATAGATTGGGATTGGGATTGGGATTAAGATTAGGATTAGGATTAGGATTAGGATTAGGATTAGGGTTGTGATAAAAAATGGGATTGGGTTTAGAAACGGGTGGTTTAGGATAGTATGCTTTAGTAGGTTGTACCTAAAGCAATAGAAGTTGTTTTTAAGAGTTTAAGAGATTAAGAGTTTTAGCCAAATGTATTATAAGATAGTATAGATATATATATATACTAGAAGCGTACTCGCGCAATGCAGCGAGATACATCGTGATTTTAATATTTCATTTTATTCTTTTATCTCAGTCGATGTTATAACATGGCTTTATGTGATTTTGAGAAAACGATGATGTTTTTATTTTTGAATAA